CATTTAGAGTCATTTTTCCCTAGTCTCCATGGGTTTGTGACAGTTTCGCTGTCTTCCCTTATTTTTGTAACTTTACACTCTTGAGGAGAACTGGTCAGGTATCCTGTAGAATGCTTCTCAATTTGGATTTGTCTGATGTTTTTTCTCATGACTTGAGTGGTTATGGGTTTTTGTAAAGAATACCACAAAGATGAAGTACCCTTCTTATCATGTCATATTAGGGGATACACATTAGCCACATGGTATCACTGGTGATGTTATCCTTCAACAGTGTTCATCAGGTTTCTCTACAGCAAAGTTATTACTTGGAAGAATCACAGTCTAACTCACTTTCATGAGGAAGGTAGCAGAAATCATATATCACCTCCTAGTGGAGGGAGTGCCTAAATATACTATTTGTATTTTGTAAGAAATGTATTGTGTCCCTACATATTTACTAAATCATTTATTTATATCAATATGAACCTATGTATATTTACTTTATAGTTGGATTATAATCCAAAACTGTATTATTTTATTTCTCAAATTCTTCCAGCTTTGGCCATCAGAAGCTCTTTCATGTTGGCTCCTGGCCCCTTTGACATACCCTCATCCTTTATTTCTTTTGAGTACTTCCTTATTTTCTGGTATTACAGGACTCTAGGTTTGTTTTGTATTTCCCCTGTCCTGGGTCTAGAAGTAGTCCTTTCTCTAGAAGCCCTATTCCTTTAATGAGAGATGGCATTAGATACCAAGATCTGAGACAGGTGTGGTGACACATGCTTGTAATCTCAGTGACTGAGGAGGCTGAGGCAGGGGAATTGCAAGTTCAAATCCAGCCTCAGCGACTTAACAGGATCCTAAGCAACTTAGTGAGACCCTGTCTCAAAAAATTAAAATCCATTATTACCCTATGTGCAAACATGATTACATGACATATAACTCTACATCATGTACAACTAAAAAATGAGAATTATACTTAATTTATGTAGGATGTGTCAAAACACATTCTACTGAAGCTGGGGTTGTGGCTCAGTGGTAGAGTGCTTGCCTAGCATGTGTGAGGCACTGGGTTCAATTCTCAGCACCACATATAAATAAATAAATAAAATAAAGGTCTATCAACAACTAAAATATATTTTAAAATGCATTCTACTCTCATGTATAACTAATTAGAACAAATAAAAATATATTTAAAAAGCCAACAATGAATAAATAAATGTAAAAGGACTTTGGATGTGCCTAATGGTTAAGTACCCCTGGGTTCAATTCCCAGTACCAAATGGATTAAAAAAAAAAAAAAAAAAAAGCAAGATCTGAGCACAGGATATATCCATTGCAATTAGGGTATTATTGCTATTAGGCTCTCTCAGTCAACAGAGTTAAGTAACATATGAACATATACTAACTCATGAACATATTCATATCTACAATTATTTCTGTATTTTTCTATCTGTGTATAAATAGTAAGTTAAACTTGAATCCAAAGTATAACCCTTTTGTGTGGATTCCCTGATTGTTTATAGGAGGAATTAGCAATATTTGAGTTTTTTTTAACTTTAATTTTGAATGAAGAAAAATTCTACCTGCAATAGGACACATTCTATACCTTCACCCTCCTCATATCTAGGGCAAATCAGCAGCAGAAATCAGGCAGAGGACAGAGTGGTTTATAGGGAGAATTAAAGAAATAGAAATCACAAGGCATTAGCTAATCCCAAAAAACCAAAGGCTGAATGTTTTCTCTGATAATCAGATGCTGATCCATAGTGGGAATGGGGGTAGGGAAGAATGAAGGAATTTTGGATTGTGCAGAGGGGAGTGAGGGGCTGTGGGGATGGGAAGGACGGTGGAATGAGATGGACATTATTATCCTATATTCATATATGATTACACTACTGGAGTGACTCTGCACCATGTACAGCCAGAGGAATAAGAAGTTGTGCTCCATTTGTGTACAATGTGTCAAAATGCATTCTACTGTCATGTATAACTAATTAGAACAAATAAAAAAAATTGTATCAGGGAAAAAAAAACAGAAATCACAAGAAATACACTTAATGACCAAAATAAATTTGGGTAACGTTCAATTAAAAATATATTGTAGTTCCCGCTGAGTATGGTGGCACATGACTGTAATACCAGCAACTTGGGATGCTGAGGCAGGAGGATCACAAGTTTAAAGTCAGCCTCAGCAACTTAGTGAGACCCTGTCTCTAGATAAAAAAACTTAAATAAATAAATAAGAGGGTCGGGATGTGGCTTAGTGGTTAAGCTCCCTGGGTTCAATCCCTTATCTCTCCCACTACCAAATGAAGGCCAAAAGAAGTCATGTTAGAATGAAGTAATGCACATGGAAGTCCCCCTGAGGAGGCGTAGGAAAGAAGCAAGTTGAATTCCTTAAGGCTTATGGAGTGGTCAATGGCAGATGAGTTTGTGGCCCCAGTCCCCATTCCCTACTCTCAATTTGTATAGTTAGACTCATCACTGGAGTCTTGAATAGAAATCTGTTTACAGCTTCCATCAACATCAATTTGTGTTTGTTAGATTCAGGGTACGGGAGTCAAGTCGTATCCATAATAGGGATATAAATTATCCCTGCTTCCTCCAAGGTAACTGGAATCATTTGGGAATATCTTCCTGTGAAAGGGATTAATTTACAGATGATAGCCCAACTGGAGGAACATAAAGCTAATGCTGCTTCTTTCTGTTTCTCTAGGAGAAAACCAAAGACATATTTTGTGTAAGATAGACAGGAAGGAAGGGAGAAAGGAAAAAATGATTACATTAGGTTTTCAATGCAATGACTGTGAGATCAAAATTATCTTAATAGTACTGCAGAATAATTCTTTTATTTCTTCTTCATGCAATGATGCAGCTTTCTGATCATACATAGTTGGAAAGAGATATTTTGGGCCACCTTGACATCTATGAAAACACCCTGTCTTGCTAATTCCTAAATAGCTTGCTTACAAGTAAATGGAATCATAGTAGACAAGTGTGGAGTGGTCATGTGAAACACTGCAAGGATGTGCTGCAATCAGTTCTTAAAAGAAGCCACTCATTTAAGATGGGGAAAAAAAATAGGAAAGAAAATAGTTGCTTGTGGTCATGTACTTCCAAACACACTTGATATGCATACAGTGTGACAGATAGAGTATGTTCTTTGAAAAGGAAGAGGACAATGAGACCCAAAATGCAGGTGAAGATGATGTCCTTTCCTATCCAAAGCTCACAAACTGTGGTAGGAAGAATTCTAAGATGCACCCCCCCCACACACACATACACCAAGTTTCATCCCCTGATGTACACAACGCCCTGAGTGTGGGCAGGCTATGTGAATATGATGAGCTGTCACTCCTATGTTTGTATTTGGGGGAGGGGTACCAGGGATTGAACTCAGGGGCATTGTGGGAAGCCACTTCTGAGCTATTTAGCATCTTCACTCAGCCTTGAGCCAAGGAGATTTTGGTCTGGCATTGCACACTCTTTTGTGGCCCCTCCCACTTAAGGGATTACACAATGCATGTGACTTCAGTCTTTGCTGGGCTAGGAAGGCTGCTCTTGTAGCTCCGGAATTGGGCATGACCCATTGGGCCTGGACTGCTCACCTCCTACCTTATTTGGCAGAAGAACATTCTATGGAATACCTTTGAAGTTTGTCCCATATATAATAAAGCAAATGTGAGTTAGCTCTCTCTTTCCAGTGTGGAAGCTAGACCCCTAAGGTGGTAGAGCCCTCCTGCCCTGCTTTTCAAAATTACTTCCGTGTCGTGTGGTCTTTTCATTGCCTTCTTTTTCTTAGCCTTATTTCGCAGCTAGTTTACTTCATGCAGAGGAACCCCAAATTCCATTGCCCGCGCAGGACATAGGCAAGAGGGCATTCATCCAGTGAGCCACATCCCCAGCCCTATTTTGTGTTTATTTAGAGACAGGGTTTCGCTGAGTTGCTTAGTGCCTTACTTTTGCTGAGGCTGGCTTTGAACTTGAGATCCTCCTGCCTCTTGAGCCGCTGGGATTATAGGTGTGCCCCACTGCACCTGGCTGATTGTTATTATTTTACATGGTAAAGGTAAAGGGATTTTTGTAGATGTAATTATGGTCTCTGATCAGTTGACTTTGAGTTATCAAAAGGGAAACTACCTTGGGCAGACCTTATCTCATCAGGTGAACCTTTTAAAAGATAGTCCAGAGATCAGAGATAGAAGTCAGAGACTTCTATCTTTTGTTTTGTTTTTTTTGATCTGTGTGCCTTGCAAAAATCTAGCTGCCACAAGTTCTACAATGACAAGAAATGAATTTTCTGAACAACCACAAGCTCTGAACCTCACATTAGACTACAGTCTTGGCCAACCCCTTGACTGAAGCTTTGTGAGATCCTGAGCAGAGGACCCTGCTAAGCTGTTTCTGAAGTCCCCAACCCATAGAGACTGAGACATAACAGTGTTATTTAAGTCACCAGGTTTGTGGTAGTCTGTTAGGAAGAAAAAAAAAAAAAAAACATCAATATGACCGTCATTCTATTTCCTTTCTCTGGTACCTTCATGTATCTGCCTGTCTGCTTATCTTTCTCTCTACCTACCCTGGCTGGCTCTTATCAGTAATTAAACAAATTCGAGTCTACCCTATCTTACAAATCTAACCCTAATCACATGTCTGCTTGTAGTTACTGGTCTATTTGGCCTCCATGTCAAAGCCAAATGCCTTTAAAGAGTGGTATGGCAGATAGATGTTGCATACAGTTTACACACGGGGCTTAATCAAGATAGGGGCCCTTTATTTTTCTTTCATGTGACAAAAAGTCTGAAGGCAAGTTGTAACAGCAGCTTAAAAAATGCCTTCAGTGTCCCAGGCTGCTGCTTTCTGCTGTGTCATGTGTGGCTCCTGTAAATGTTTTTATGACTTTCCCAGTCATTTCAACTGCTTTTAAGCTGGGTATAAGGCACAAAAGGACAGGGGGAAGAAGAGACTATTTCCCTTTTAAGAAGAAATCTCTTTCTTCTCATTATACAGAACTAAGTCTCATGGCCACACCACCTCCATAAGACTTTGACAAAGATAGTTTTTAATAGGAAAGTGGATTTCTTCAACAAAATTAGGTTTGGTTAGGGAGGGAGATGGCGTCTTACTCCATATGGACTGCTCTAACAAAATGCCCAAGTCTGGGTAGTTTATAAACAGTAGAAGTTTACTCATGTTGGCTGGAAAGTCCAACATGAAGATGTCAGTAGATTCATGTCTGATGAAAGACTTGGCAAGATACAAAAGGGCTCCCTCAAACCTCCCTTCTAAGGGCATCAGTTCCATTCATGAGGGTGAAACCCTCATCACCTTATCACCTAAAAGGCCCACCTCTTAGTGCTCTCACTGGGGATTAAGTTTCAATTTGTAAATATTTCAGGAACAAATATTCAGACCATAGCAGTCTATACCCTCACAGGGCACCAAACCCACTAGTATCTTGATCTTGGACTTCCCAGCCTCCAGAACTGTGAGAAATATATCACTGTTGTTTATAAGTTATCAGTGTCATAAAGCTTCATTACAGCCTGATTGATCTGATGTTTGCTGGCCTTGACATCCACAATGAACACTAGTGTGGTGTTGTCTTCAATCTTCTTCGTGGCCAGCTCAGTGGTTAGGGGGAACTTGATGATGGCATAATGGTCAAGCTTGTTTCTGCTGGGGGCGTTTTTCCGAGGATATGTGGGCTGCCTTTGGAGCTGCTGTGTCTTGGGCCACCAGAAGTTAGATGACATGTGGCTCTTCTTTTTTGTGCGTGTGTGTGGATGTTTTTCAACATCTGCCTTCTTGGCCTTCAAAGCTTTTGCAGTGGCTGCAACTTCAGGAGGGGCAGGAGCTTCCTTCTTAGCTTTTGGTGCCATCTTGGTGAAAAAAGCCCATCCACTCTTCAATCTTTTATTATAGTCTGATTTGTGTCACCATAAGGGCTTCTGAGATCATTCTTTCCAAGGTCTCCAGGACTTCTCTAGCCTATGTCCTCCAGATCTGTTTTGGTTGTCATCTTTTCCTTTCTTCATCTCACATTTCTTTTCCAAGCTTCCAAAATATATTTAAAAAAATACTGGCAGCCAGGCAAAATGGTGTGTGACGACGATAATTCCCAGCTCCTTGGGAACCGGAGGCAGGAGGAATGCTTGAACCCAGGTGTTTGAGGCCAGCCTGGGCAACATAGTGAGACTCCTGTCTCTTAAAACAAATAAACAGGGTGTGGAGGTGCATGTTTGTAATCCTAGTTACTTCAGAGGTTGAGGCAAGAGAACCATAAGTTCAAGGTCACCCTGGCCAACGTAGCCAGAACCTGTTTCAAAATAAAATAAAAAGAGCCAGGGATGTAACTCAGTGGTACATACAATACTTGCCTAGGATGTGCAAGATATTGGATTCAATTCCCAGTTTAACAAAAAAAAAAAAAAAAAAAATTGCAATTTAGAGTCCAAGTCCAGTACATTTTTTTTTTTTTTTTTTTTAATTTCAAGATTGGTTTAAAGTTAAAATTTCTCCTCTCCCTCCAGCTTCAACTCGTGAACTGGAAACCTATAGCAGAAAAGATGGCTTAGAGTTCTTGATATTCCATGTAGTGCCTCTATTCCACATCTATCATTCACCAGGCTACCTCTGACTCTTCATGGATTGAAATGAGGGAGAGAGGAGAGATTAGGAACCAACAGAATTTTATTTAACTGGTCTTTATCTAGCTTGATTTATTTTGACAATGGTGTATCTAAAGCTGACTGTCTTCTGGGCCCTTTTAAGAACTTTTGGGGGGGGCTGGGGTTGTGGCTCAATGGCAGAGTGCTTGCCTAGCATCTGTGGGGCACTAGGTTCAAGCTTCAGCACCACATAACAACAACAACAAAAAAGAACTTTTTGGAAACCTCCTCCACCCACCAATGTTATATTTCATGCAGGCGAGTGCATATCCTTGTCTGGTCATGTTAGTGTACTCTTTGGTCTCTGATTATTGCCAAAGTGTTTCTAAAGAGGTCTCCTTCCTCCTCAAGATGCAGTCCTGCACAAGATCTAAGGCAATAGCTTCTTCCTCTTCCTTTCCCAAGTTCTACTTTTGTTCTCTCTCCCACCTGCCATCTGATTCATGGAAACTTTTAAGGGTATACCTGCTTCACTCAAAGTTTTGCTGCCATAGGCTGCTTCAGTCAGCACATTGTTCTTTGTATATTTCAGGCGTGAGTCATCTGATTTATCCATTGGTTTTCCTAAATTGTGAGAGTCCATATAACTCAGTCTATAAGCTCTTTAAGTGACCTCTCTCTGACTCCGGGATCAGGGGAAATTATCCCTACCTTTTTCCTCCTCCTTTCTTACGGGAGTATGCCTCAAAGCAAACTCTCCCTACAAAAATCCTCTGATTTCTAACTCTCTCTCTTGTTCCCCCAATCTTCACTTACCTACAGGTCATCCAAGGGTCCTGGCATATTCTTGTTTACCTCCTTGCAAATCTTGCTCTGGTGGACTCAGTTTGGAATGTGGGGGTGGTATTTGTCTTGGCGCGTTTGCAAAAATGAAACAGAAATTGTATCATTTTATCATTAAGATATAATAAGTAGTGTGATGTACATCTTCTTCCCCAGTTTCATAAAATTTCAGTAAAACATCCATTTCTTGTCAAGGGTTTCCATCTCTCTCTTTTTGGTACTGGGGATTGGACCATGAGCCACTTAACCACTGAGCCAATGCCCAGCCATTTTTATTTTGAAACTGTCTAAGTTGCTTAGGGCGTTGCTAAATTGCTGAGGCTGGCCTTGAGCTTGTAATTCTCCTGCTTCAGCCTCCTCACTAGGTTAAGGGGTGTGCCAACCATGCTGGCTTTCATCTATTCTGAAAGAGAGGAAGATACACTGAGTGTGGTCTTTTTTTTTTTTTTCCTCCAGTAATTCAATAATTTATTCCTCTAAAAAGTATGTAAAAGTATATAGCTCTCATCCACAAGGTATATATGAATGGCATTTAAAATGGAGGACTTTAATTATTTTTTAAAGAGTTTTTTTAAAAAATATCTTTCATTTTTATTTATTTTTTAATGTGGTGCTGAGGATCAAACCCAGGGCCTCAGGCATTCGAGGCAAGACTCTACCACCTGGCCCCTTATTGTTTCTTTTTATCAAAGTCTTTTAGTGTACTGTACCAGTGCTATACTGTAGTTTTTTTTTTAATGAACTTCACATATTTTTGTATTCTTTCAAATTATTTGCTATATATAAAAGAATCTCACTGCAAAATGCTTAAAGGACAAAAGAAAACAAAAGAAATTCAGAACTTCCCAGAAGTTTTCCATTTAAAAAAGATTCTGAAATATACATACAAGCATGCTGGACAATCCTACCCTTCTCCCCTTCCCACTGTCCCTTTTTAGTTCAAACTTTGGTAAGAGTTCTGATTTCTGCAGAATTTCCAAAAATTAAAAATAAAATAAAATAAAACAACTTTTCACTGAGTGTGGTCTTAATGTGAATGTGAGTCAACTTATAGTTAGATTATCACATCTGGATGATATCTGGTGCCATAATGACCAGAATATTCAAACTAATATGTATTATCTGTCAACAACCTGGACCAAATTCCACCTTACAAATGAGCCCAATGTGTGCATTCTTTTTTAAAAAATATTTTTAGGGCTGGGGATGTGGCTCAAGCGGTAGCGCGCTCGCCTGGCATGCGTGCGGCCCAGGTTTGATCCTCAGCACCACATACAAACGAAGATGTTGTGTCCGCCAAAAACTAAAAAATAAATATTAAAATTTAAAAAAAAATATATATTTTTAGTTGTAGATGGACACAAAAACCTTTATTTTATTTATCTATTTTTATGTGGTGCTGAGGATCAAACCCAGTGCCTTACACGTGCTAAGCAAGTGCTCTGCCACCAAGCCACAACCCCAGCCCTGATGTGTGCATTCTTAACAAAGATGCCAAATTGTTGGACTTGTGGTATAAGAGAGGATATCAACCTGGCAAGAGCTGTGATGGTCCTTGGAGTATTTCCTTGAAGTAAACTGTAAGATGAGTTTTAGACGTTGGTGAGGGTGTGGTGAAATAGAAATCCAAGTAAATTATATAGAAGGAAATCTTTAAAAATATCTTATGAAGTCCCATGCTAGGTGTACATAATCCAGCCCTAAAGGATGCAATTTCTTTAGAAAAATATAGTGTTTCCTGGGAGGGGAGAGGAAGAGTGTGGCAGCCCCTACCATACCTCACCAGCTAAGATTCCATAGAGAGTGAATGGCTGTCCTGGGCCTGGCAACCAAGTGGGGATAAGACTACTTATCTATGATACTTGCTGTCATAAACCAGAGAAATCTTTGGAGAATACAGAACCAGAAAGATTTTGAATTGTATTACAATATTCTAGTGAAATGTTTTAAGTATGGTAGATCCTGGGGGTAGAGAAGTAACTGAGATGAAGAGAAAGTTTGTACAATTTGGCACTAGGAATTCTAATTGGACTGACTGCCAGTTCACATTTTTTTTTTTTCTGTGATGGAATGCTTGAGAGCACTCAAAAGCATACCTGGTAACCTGAGGAGTCCCTGGAATTTATGTTGAGTGATCACATGTCAACAGGAAGAGGGAAACTCTGCAGTCTGGGAAACAAAACAAATCTACAATGTCATGAGATCTTCACCATCTCTCAAGTTCTTGCTGTTGGTAAATCTAATTTAGGAGGGAAAAGGAAAAGAAGTACTATTTTCCAAGTGAGACCTGAAGTCCTAGTATAAATTTATTGGGATGATAAAGTATGCTACAGCTCCCAAAGAAACAGATCCTCATAGGTAAGAAGTGTGTGTGTGTGTGTGTGTGTGTGTACAGAGCACCCTGGAGCCTGTCAGAGATTATTACATGCCCCCAAATATGATTAATTTCTGATAAGTTTGGACACAGAAATGTTTGCTGTGACTTTCTCAAGCACCAAACTTTGAGACTTCTCAAATCTAGGTATGTTAGGACATTGCAAAATGAGCCAAGAACCAATATACGTGTAAGTAGTATTCATTCCTTTGTGTTATACATGAGGCAACTGCAGATCAGGTGATTGGCTGAAGGTTACAGAGTTAATAAGCCTCAGTTTTGAGTTAGAACAAAAGTCTCCTGCCTTCAGTTCTCATTTTATTCACCCACATTGCTTTTATTCAAATGGCTGACACTATCTCACTATCTACAACGTCAGATGGTTCCCTCTGTTTCAGAATCCAAACATTTCAATGTAGGTTTTTTTTTTGTATTAGGGATTGAAAACAGAGGTACTTTTACATTGAGCTACATTGTCAGTCCTTGTTATTTTTGAGACAGGGTCCTGATAAATTGCTGAGGGTCTTGTTCAGTTGCTGAGGCTGATCTTGAACTTGTGATCCTCCTGCCTCATCTTCCCAGAGTCGCTGGGTTTACAGGCATGTGCTACCATGTCTGGCTTGGTTTAGGTTTTGCATGATGTGTTCTGACATAATCATTAGTATGCATTTATTTTTATTTATTTTTATTTTTTGAGTACTGGGGATTGAACTTAGGGACATTCAACCACTGAACCACATCTCTAGCCCTGTTTTGTATTTTCTTTAAAAACAGGGTTTCACGGAGGCTTTTGCTGAGGCTGGCTTTGAACTTGTGATCCTTCTGCCTCAGCCTCTTGAGCCCCTGGGATTACAGGCATGTACCACCGCACCTGGCTCATTAGTATCCATCTTCTAAAAGTGTGCTTTTCTTGAACGTTTTTAGAAATTCTGCTTTCTTTGGCACTGAAATTCTTGCTTCCACACTAAGACCAAGTGCTTCTGGGAAAGCTGATATCACATCCAACTTAAGAGTGGATGTGAAATTCAGTCTTACTGTGACTTCAGAGTTTGATTCATGGATAACTATGTAAC